GGAGGTTCTCTCTTAAACAGCTCTGCAACAGATACAGGTTCAGATCAGATCACACCTCAAGGATACAGCCAGAGGCAGAAAGAGCACAGACTATCCTACATGGGCTGAATAACTGCTACGTTGATGATATTTTGCTCCATTAAATTTACGGTTGTGAATTCATATAACAAACATACTGTATTTTCTACACAGGGTCTTTACCTTGCAAGGCAACAATAACACATCTGTGAATAATAAAGTAAAATGAGTATATTTTTTTTTCCTAGTACAATGGCTGTGTGTTTGTAATTGTTAAAATACTTTACTAGTCCCCAGTTTTATACTATACATTTGCTGAAACCCCATAACTTGCCCTCTTTGCGAAACTAAAATGTAGCTAGTTTTTGATTTGTTAATGTGTATAACGAGCACAGGTAATATGTAGAAAAAATGTCAACGTCCCAAGAAAGAAAAGTCCCTAGCTCCAACTGTATCATTAGCTATTAGTGTGTAGTAGTGGTGACTTGGATTTTAATAACGTGGTGGCTAAAAACACTAGGTATCTGTCAAGGAAATACACCAGCTCCAAGGTGGAACATTAATTGGCTGTGCGTAAACTCTACCAGTATCTAGATTGAAGGGTCTTCTGTACTTTCGCAGAGACAAAAAGCAAGAATTTCATATGCTAACATTTGCATGAGGAAGGTGTTTGTGTTTTTAACCTATGCTACCTGTTTATGGTCATAAACATAGTTGATTCAGTACCTTGAAGCACTAACTTTGTAAAAAGGCTACTTAGGTTTGCTGCTGCCAGTTCCCATTTCTCTGTGGAGCTCTATGTATCATGTTAGCTAGCTGAGGTTGAGATGTCAAGTCAAGGTGATGTGCAATATAAAAAAGTTTTGACAATTCACAGATTAGTGCCATTTATACATGCACCTCTGACCTTGCAGCCAGTTGCTACATACTAAACATGTATAAGCTAACATAACAACGTAGGAACGTCTGCCAAGCTGCTGTGTGCTAATCCAAATTTGTTAGTGTGAGAAACGTCTACAATGATACCGACACTTTTAATGAAACATGCACTGTAAACCTCTGTGAAATTGGTGGACTTCAGGGAGACAGGTTAAAAATGAATGGTCAAAAGTTACTGTATCTTCACACTACCTGCTGAAATGACTTCAATCCAATTTTTGCCCTCCAGGTGACACAGATCTGATCTTTTCACGGATATGAACAAACCAAATCAGAATTTTTCAGATCTGAGCCACTTCTGTATGTGGTCCTAGATCAGATTTGTATCTGATCTCTGACCATGCTATGGCCATCAGATCAGAATTCATGTCGTTTATCATCATTCGGTGTCAGTCCCTCACAGAATGATAAAAATACACACAGAGGACAGCAACAACAGAGATGAAGGCCAGTAGATGAGGATGTTTCACTTCTATTGAAGTGTTCAAGCCAAACTGGCACATGCACTGGGAGGTGCTCAAGCATTTGTCTTGTTACCCTTGTTACTTAATCTGCATCAGAACAACGTAAATATGTGATTGCTGCACGGTTTCCATGTCAGCTCATACTGTGTGGCTAAATCTTTAAGGTGCAGCCCAGTAAATGATCTCTTCATTCACTCCTGTGGCACAAAAGCTACTGGCAGTTGTTGGCAAGCAAAATGTTATTTCAATGCAATAATCTAGGGCCATTACAAACTCACATTTGAAAGTTTAATCATTGATCTTATTGTAGTTACATGATAATATTTTGCCACAAATCTTATGCAGGCTTACAATTTATGTGCTAATGCAAAGATGAGCTGCTGCAGGTAACTTTTTTTTATAAATAATTGTTGGTCAGATGGGTGCCCTTGTTTTTTCTTTAAGCTTGAGCACTTGACCCCCCCCCCAAATGTCTGCAAACTGGAAGGAGCATACACAAATGATGCTATTGTTGTTTCTCTTGTACACATGTGGCTCACATTTCAGTTAAGTCTGCACATGCATGGTAGTTTAGGACCTCAGTTATCGGAGCTGGATATGTCACTCATACACATGAACGTGACATCAACTGGTAAAAGCAGGCTGAGATATCCTGACTTGTAAATTCAAGCTGCAAAAACACCGGATCCTTCACTTTCCTTTTAGACTTATATGGTAGAGTTGCATGTTTTTCAAACATCATGCCTCAACTTTGTATTGCAGGATATTTGGTTTGTATGCAGGACTAAATCATAATTTACTTGGAAAATCTAAAAAAACAACTAACTTCTGTGAATACGAAGAGGTTAATTTTATTCTAAAATTAGGTATCAAGCACTTGAAGACATTAAGACCTCTCTATGTCTATCTTCATAATTTATTTAATGAAAAAAGCACCGATTTATTATTAATCAAAAATCCCATAGTTTGAATTATTAAGGAAATTCAAGACATAAAAAATCCAAAATTGGTGCATACAATGTTGAACAAACCCCCTTAAAAATATTTTACCCCAACATTGTTTTTTCAGTGTCAAAGCAAAGCGGTCAGCCACAGCCCGCTGGCAGACAACCTCACCATCAAAGTGAATCTCTTAAAACAAATGTAAGCATCAGCTTTTCCCTTTTCCCTGTCAACTTTCATATCCGTGTCGACGACAGCGACGACAGGCGCAAGCAGTCACTGATCAGAGCTTTGTGATGGCGCATTAGTGTGCTGCTAACCAGCCTCTGGAGGCAGACGTGATTGAAAGCTGCTGCTTGTACGAGGGCTCCCTCGTGTCATGTGTCACTGTGCTGTGGAGGTTTCCTCATCTACAAACACACACTCCCCGGGGCCCCTCAATCAATAGACTACATCTCAGCCATACACACTACTTGTTATCTGATACTGTAAAGTGAATGAAGATCTTAACGTGCATGGGTCTGATACTACGCATGTGCACTCTCTCTATATATACACAGTACTGTATGCATGTGAATGAATAGTACCAATAAAGTACAGAGCCAAAACATGGATAACTTTAACAATTTTATTTGTGAAAAACTACAAGCAAAATTCATAAATAGACATTTCTATTTGAAGCGGAGAAAAATGATCAGGTTAGCCTATAAGCGCAAGGTCGTGCACATGCCAGAAACATGTATTATTTTAACATTATAAGCTAGACAAGGAGCTGTGATTTGCTGAAAATGCTGCATACATTTCCACACCAGGAACATAATGTGACCATTTCACAAGGGGAAACAATGACACATCAGCTACAAGTTCAAAGAAAAAAGAAAGAAAGAAAAAAGAAAACTAAAACTGGATTAAACAAAGAATGGATTGTAACTGTCCCTACAATTTTTTTCTAGTTTTTTTTTAAACCGAGCAATAACTTTTAAAAGCATTGTACAAGACATTGTTATAGGAAGAAATGAGTTTGTATAATACACTTAACTGGAAATTCACGGTTAAGATTATACAGTAAACAAGCATTCTATATTTGGGTCTTTGACAAACAAAGCTAAAAAATGTAACCATCTTTACACAGTAAATTAAGGTTACTGGTCGCACACAAGAACAGAACTGCTTGCGCGGAAAGGAAACAGGAAACAAAAGAGTTCAGCTCCAATGCCATTTTTCATAGTGTTTGCTTTTGCACTTTTAAAATTCTATATACAAGAAATAATTCATATACTCAGCAAATGGCCATTTGTCAATAATTTAACAATGAATCCTTTCTGTTGGAGTACTCAGTCAGTGAATGTGGTTGCAGATAAGGCAGGTGAAACGATGGCTTTTTAGGCCCATTTTCTAATAGATTGCATTGCAAAGCAGGGTTTTATTCTCAGGAAGAATTGTACACATTGTCCCCTCTGACCCAACGTTTATTTTAGTTCTATTCACATTGCATTTCCTCACTTTGAACACTGATTTTTTTGTATGCAATAAAGTACATAATTACATATTAACCACAGCTTAAGAGCAGAAAAAGTTAACACACATCTCCTGAAACATTGCTTACAATTCTCCCCGTGGGTCACACTCCAAAGCTTTGAGCCGACACAGATCAAATCTCGCCCCTCAGACCTTAGTAGGAGTTTTCTGAGAGGTGTTAGCTTCACTAAACCCAGTTTTAGTTGTTCTGGGAGCAGCTGAATTGGTGAGTTGGGGCCTCTGTTAAGGGAGCTATATGTACTGTGGTGGTCCAGCAGAGTGTAGAGGGGGCTTACTAAGGCCCAGCACACCCAGAGCTCTTCTCGGCTACCCGCCCACATCTAGTCTGCTTTTCAAGCGCCTGCACGATGAGGAAACATTTACCAGAGTGTGGAGCCAGTAGCAATCTGCGGGTCAGTTCACAGTACTGACAGCTCTCTGCCCCGTTTTAGCTGTGCACAGAGATGAGTGGACAAGAAGAACACCATTTACATGGATTATATTAGTCTTTATTTAAACTGTTCATCTCACACATTAGATAATTGCATTTCAAATTGTTATTAATCTATGTATCATGTCATTATGAAATTCCTTTGGTCCTTCAATAAATAAAACTAAGATATCATATACACATTTATTCTTTATACAGTTTATTACAGTTAAAAGGAAATTATGTTGGTCTACTATCAGCTAAGGTGAAAGTGAATAAAACTTAAATAAGCCTTGCTGTTCTAAAAATCGAAAGAGCATTTGTATTCTATTTACTACTGCAATGTTTTTTTGCCTTCAATGACAGGAGCCTTAAATTAATAAAAATAAACAAGTGAATTGTCAAATGTCAACTCTGTAAATTATTTTTGCACTTGCTTTCAGGGAAATCAAGGTTGAGAGAACGAAGATTCAAAACCGTCTTCAAGACCACAACAAAAGAAAGGATGAAATCGATTCACAACAGCTCGACACAACGGGTCCGTTTCACAGTTCAGTATGGTTTTACCACGAGGAACTGTGTGTAACCATCCTTCAGCCACAACAGAAAGAAAAGCTGAGCTGCCTTCAGCCAGAAAATGCAATATTTAAGTACGGAATGCAGAAAATATCAACAGCTTTTAGTGTTTTACACAACAGCCCACACTGTACAGTTAAAGACATAAGATACTGTATAAGAGATCTGCTATAGCATAAACAATCTACAGTTGAAAAAGTCAGGCGTCCGAACTTCATGTGACCTTCTTCTGAGGAACATTGAGAGAACGAGCAGATGGACCTGCTGGGGGTCCAGACAGTGTTCAGAGTGAGACAGTTTGGTTGAGAAAAGTGAATGAGAATTTGATTCATCAGCACTTGTCACATTGAGTGAATGGGCGATCCCAGATCTGCAAAACTGCTTCACAGTGTATCTAGCACCAGTGTGTGTGTGTGTGTGTCTGTATATGATGTGTGTACATGTGTGTGTGACTTGAGTCTTGTCCTATCATTTTTAAACTGTAATAAAAACACTGAAGAACAATCGATTGGCAGAGCTACACAGCAAAGCTTCAACATAAAAAGAAGAATATCAAAGTATACAGGTGCAACAGGTAATAAATAAGGGTAATAATAGTTTAAAGTTATTAAAATGATTGTGGTTACTGTGCCCAACGAAGAATTCTTCTTTACAAAAACAAACAAAAAAAATGTTGACTTGGCCTCACACCCACGTACAAATATAAAACAATACATACAAGTGTCTGGATGCTACCGCAGGGGGGTTGGGGTGAGGGTGTATTCTTAGTAACCCAGCTCTCCTTGCCTGTGCCACAGGTGTAACCACGAGGGAAGCTGCAAGCTGACAGGCGCACCGCACTGTTCCTCTCAGCATCCAGGGTGGTCGTGGAATGGAGGCAGGGCAGCGATGGGAAAGGTGAAGTCTCTCCCCCTATGGGATCCATAGTGTTCAGAAACATGTGGGGAAAAGGGGAAGTGGAGCAGGGTGAGGACGGGGCCAAAGGGCGGGACCTCAGAACGACTCGTCGTGCCCCACAGAGAGAACTCCTTTAGGTGTGGAGGCGCGCGATGAGCCCTTGTCTATGCTCTCGGAGCCAGAGCTCTGGTGCTGCTGTTCGGAGCCTGCACTGGACGTGATGGTGGACGAGGACGTGGAGGAGGAGCGGGTCTTCTCCTTAAAGTCTGTTATGATAACCGTCACGTTCCCTACAGTGATAGCCAACTGCTGGGCAGTGCTCCGGTCAATGTTCTTCAGTTTAGGTCTGGGAGGGGGGGAAAAAACCCAAACCTTAATAAACAGAAATGGCGACCCAAATTTGTCTCACAGCAACAACAAGGCTGCCAGCACTGTGGGGGCGGTTACACTAAATTGTTCAATTCATCAGGTGACACATGAACAGTCAGAACAAGCGCATACAAAGTGAGAGTGGGTGTTTAGTGTAAAAGATCACTGATGAATCATTTGAGGTTTCCCACGGGTTTCTCAAAAAAGAAGTGCTGTGTAGTTATAACTGCAAAACCATGTGCTGTGCCACAGACAAGCAGAGGAGGAGTGAGTGCTACACACCTGGAAATGTGAGAGTTCTTGTTGGTCTTGGTTGCTGATTTGCCAGACTGTATGCTGTGTTTGTCACTGGCTGGGCTCTGATGGTTGTCTGATTTGGGTCTGGAAGAAAACATATACACACTAGTGAAGATAATGCCAACACAGCAGACAGCCAGAGACCCAGGCGAAGCCCCAACAGGTACACTGACCTGGTCTTTTTGCTGCCAGGCCTCTTCGTAACAGCTGGGCTGATGTCTTTCTCTCCGTCAGATTTATCTTTGATTGGCTGATCCTTGTCGCTTTTGTCCTTCTCAGGGGTGTCTCCCTCTGACCTCACTTTCTCTGGACGCTCACCCTCGGGGCGTCCCTCCCCACTGGCACGCTCTCCTTCTCCGTCTGGGCGCTCCTTGTCCGCGCGCTCACTCCTCTCCCTCCGCTCCTTCTTTGGGGGAGGTGGCATCGGGTACTGCTGAGCCACCTGCTGGGCAACCAGCTGGGAGTTGATCCTGGGTTTCCTGTAGAGGAGATCCAAGGCACAAACATGGATTAGCCTCGTAGTGGAGCTGTATGCTGACTCTGGCCATGCACCTCCACAGCTGCACTACAGTTGACCATGAGAGTACACACTGAACCTCAAACCTGGCGCTCCCAGCTGCTGCTGAAGTAGGTTTACGCAACCACTTCCTGATGGAGCAGCTGTTTTGAACGCTAATCTCATTAGCTCATGGCTATAATAAAATGAATGCACAGGATCACAAGGTGGGACATTTGCAGCACGTCACTTAGGTCTTCTAATCTGATTACTGCAGCGTTGGCCCCATTTGTCACAGACTGAGATTCTGTAGGACACGATGTAACTGTTTCAGTCACTGAGCTCAACAGCAACCATGAACTACTCTGTCCCCTTTCTGACTCATTTCAAACACCTGAACAGTAACCATGACCTTTCTGAGTTTCACCATTCTTATTCAGCAAAGACAACTAACCAAGGAACGACACATGGAACTTTGAAAGATCCCACTGATTCACAAAAAAAACACAGAGAACATCTCTTCTGTGGTGGATCACCACTGAAATGCTACAGACATGCATGAAGCTGCTCCACCGGCTGTGCAGGTGAACAGGGCCTGAAGCTCTTGAAGTTGAATGCTAAACCAAGATCTGTCTGCTTGAGCCAACACACACACACCTACAGCATAATGGAAACAGCTGGCAGCATCTGGGGGAAGTAGAGTACCTCAGGGGAAGAGGGAAGGATGACTGCAGAGATTCTGACTCATCTGAGGCTAACTGCAGCCAGCAACATGGGTAATCACCAGCCAGTGCTGGGCAAGCATAGTGAGGAGTAAAACACAAGTACACACACACCCTCACACACCTGAAAGGCCCAGTGTGCAAACTGGCATGGCTCGATGTCTGCTCAGGAGGCCTTTCAACAGGAGCACACACAGAACAGGTCATACTAGCTGTGCATACTTAACCCATTCAAACCCAGTTCTCGTGATATCCCAGCAGTAGAAGAGAGCTGTTAGCCTGAGTACTGCTTTATGAGACCTGTGGTCAGGTGGGGAGTCTTGAAAGGCGTCTGCCTGAGCTTATGGCCAGATGAACAAGGTTTAGTGCTAGAAAATCTCCCACTAAAAATGGGTTATGCTTTGCCATGAGAATGGGTTATAATGAAACAGGTCTATGATCAAATTGTGGGGTATGTGGTAAAAATAGACTAAGCTCAGTAATGCGTCAGAATGATGACACTGATTTCAGTGGCTTGATGTGGAGAGTGGTTTTCAGACAGCTTCTTAAGTGGTTAGCCTCAATGTTTCAAATTGGTGGCATCACATAGCCAGTCCAGTTGCTCTAACATCCTTACATCTTTCTCAACTGACTATCTATTCCTTCAGTCCCTTAATCTTTTAGTAGCTTAGCACCGTCAAACTCCAGCATTTTGACCATCTTTTCTCTATTTTTCAGTCCAACTCTTTCAATACTTTTTCCTCTATTGCTCCATCAAGATCATTTAGTATAGCCCTGCTGTGGCCTATTAACAGAGTGATAGGGGCTCTCCCTGAGGAGGGGGTGGGGGTGTGTAGCCAATCAGAAGGCAATCAATCGGGGCATTAATAGAGCATCATGTCGTACTGCTTGCGCTACACTCCAATCAATAACACCTGCTGTGGCGAATGCTGATGAGCCTGGGGCTGCTGATCCAGTATCCATTAGCTGCTGTGGAGCTCCGGAGCCTGGGACTCTTTCTGCCCACTGCCTTTCTACCTGCAGTGGTGATTTGTCACAAAGCAGGCTTATACTGTCAACAACTGATTTACTTAAGTTTTATTGAGGAAATAAAAAATGTCATAACCCCATGCTGAACTAGCTGTGACACTCACAACAGATGGTGTTAATATAAATCTCTCCAGACTCCAGCACACCTCTAAGCCTGGGTTTTCCCTGTTATAATGGCACAATGCAGTCCACCCCACGGGAATCCAGGGATCCAGTGATCTGGTTGTGCCACACACAAGTGTGTCAGGTTCTGGGGTGGTAACTTGCACTATCTGAGGAAACCGCACTGAAAAAGGCTACAGTGCTGACATGAGCTCACCCCCTACACTCTTCATGAAAAAAATGCAACCACTCGAACCCACAGTTGTGAGTAAACAGACTGTGGATGCCAGCAGCATCCAACAGGACCGGGAATTATTGTGTTTGGCAGCGAGAGCTGTTAGCCAAGGAGGTGCTGGTTGACTGACTGATAAGCTACACACCTCTTCTAAGGTCCAGGCCAGAGCCTGAGATTTGTGTTAGCAGCACAACAGTGGCTGAAGAAGTGGCCCCAGTGGTTAAGCAGTGACTCAGTGCCAACTGTAAGTCAGCCACGAGCTGTTGCTGGCATGACAGAGCCACAGCTCTCTTTGGCCCATTATTTATTTACTGTCCACACATTGTGGCTTTGCCCGGCACTAGTCTGTGGCTCATTAATAGGGCTGGATACACCACAAGCTACCGTGCGAACAGAGTGCGCTTGTGTGTCACTTGCATTTATTAAACAGTGGCAGCTCTCAACTGCTGGAAAAACATCTCACTCTGCTTAAAAATAAAATTCATACTTAAATTTTGTTGTGATTCACACTGAAATGATTTGTCCACACTGTTGAGCAGGGCAGCATAGTGAGGCAGTGGTTAGCACTGTCACCTCACAGCAAGAAGTTTCCAGGTTCGAGCCTCAGCTGACCCGGTTCCTTTTTGTGTGGAGTTTGCTGGTTCTCCCTGTGCCTGCATGGGTTCTCTCCAAGTTCTCCAGCTTCCTCCCACAATCCAAAGACGTGCAGCTTAGGTTGACTGGTGACTCTAAATTGCCCACCCCCCGGGACCCTCGTTCGGATAAGTGGTATAGATAATGGATGGATGGACATTGTTGAGCATAATGCACTAATTAAAAGACAACATTGCTGAAAATTACTTATTTGGCCAAGTATGTTACACTCACAAGGAATTTGTTTCCGGTACAAAACCAGAAATTTTGCAATATTATTATGCAAATGTCCAAATCAAACAGGAACAATCTATATAGCACAGATGACCCAGAAATGATACTGGGAGCAGGACCAGGAGTGAACCCCAGGGTACAACGGCAGCAACTGTTCCAACCCCCTACTACTGCCAATATATTCCTGGGAAATCTGTGTGTGTGTGTGTATAAAGCCTGCTGTCAAACCATTTCCTGCTGTGAGGGCTTACAGCATATTACCTCCCCTTCGCACAACAATAGGCCATAATTGACAGCTCCTCCTACGCTTGCCCCTAAATTCCACCGTCTGCAGGAGGGAGGAGTGGGGAGACTCCCTCCACAGGATGCCCTGAAATAACTGTCATCAAGCTTAGAAGCTCCTAATTCAGTCATACTGACACCTGTAGTTAGGCTGCTTCACTCAGCCTGAACCATCCCAGAGAGAGCTGGGGCTCTCGCTGGTTGGGAACAGCCAATACGTAGCAGCCAAGAGCAAAAGCTGAAGCTGCTGTTTCAGAGGACTCTTTCTAGAGAAATCAGAATCAATGAGTCTGAGCACTTCATGGAGGGAGTGTAAAGAAGAGAGTGAACAAGTGATGGAGAGTGTGATAGAGAGACAGAGAGGTGCAGGAAAGCCCTCATTAACACAGCTCTTTCATCTGAAGTGCTGTGTAGAGGACAAGCAATTATTTCCTGCCAGGCTAAGTGAATGCAGTGGTAGACAGCTGAGTGAAGAGGAGAGAGAGAAAGCCAACAGACACATCGTACTCTTCAACCATGAACAGCCCACTGAAGAAGAATCGCCCACTCTCTTATTTCGACTATGAATAACCACATGAACGTAGGCTTAGTTCTCAGTGACGCACAATGTTGTTCACACACATAAATGCTCTATTCACATGCATTCACCAGGGACCTGGTTTCACCCCACACTGGACTGAGAGGCCATCGCAGCCTCTGCCTGGAGCACATCTCAGAGACAACATGAGGGAATGCCTCAGGGTTTCAGTCTGACCACAGTACCTCCCTATGACATGCTGGCAGCTATGTAGCCCATGGTCTACATGTCAACATTTATTGTTCATCTTGATCAGGATGTAAAAACGTGTAACTGGTCTTATATAGTGCTATACAATAGCACTACATAACTATAGCACTCTTCTATGCAATGAAGAACACTCAAAGCACTTTTACACCATTTTCCATTCACACACAGTTAGCACAGCCACCAGGAGCAACTTGGGGTTCAGTGTCCAGTGTCTGGCATGTGAACTGGAGAAGCTGGGATTCGAACCACCAACCCTCCAGTTAGGGGATGAATGGCTCTACCTCCTGAGGCACAGCCACGTCAGGCCCCCACCTGCCAGTATGAGAGGTGACAGAGAAGAGCCCAGAGAAGCTGCCTGTCTGTGCTGCTCTGAAGTGCGGTGCCTTTGCTAAAGTATTCATACCCCTTGAATTTTTCCACATTTTGTTATGTTACAACCACAAACTTAAATGTATTTTATTGGGATTTTATGTGATAGACCAACACAAAGTATCACATAACTGTGAAGTGGAAGGAAAATGATACGTGGGATTCAAGATTTTTTTTTTTACAAATAAAAATCTGAAAAGTGTAGCGTGCATATGTATTCATCTGAATACCGTGTGAGGTTACAAAGGCGTGAAAAATTCAAGGGGTATGAACTCTTCTGCAAAGAACGGTAGTTAACTGATCTGTATTAGATTTGGGCGTGAGGCCGTCAGCAATCCGATACATTAAAGATATATATACAGTAACTACCAGTGCAATACGATACAATTCACACCCTGACTGAAAGTCAATGGGATACAATGTGACTGGACAATGCAAAGGAATGATGCTATGCAAATCAAAGAGTCTGATTATTTACTAATCAAATACAATAAGACCTTTCACAAGCTGGCCTTTTTTCACAAGTTCTGTCCCAGTGTTCTGTGTCTAGTGTACAGTACACTTTTAATACAGCTGGCTTACAAAATTAA